TTTCCCACTGCAAACTCCTGCCTCATTTAAAGGCCATCCCCTCACCTGCAAACGCTGCCCTTTCCTCATCCTTATTGGAATCTCAAAATCCACTAGGGTAGATCTTGGCATAACCACCGTGGGTTATGCCTGTGGTATAATTATTAATAGTGTCCCAGGTTTGAAAATAAATTATATGGTCACCCTAAAATCTTCCAGTATTTTGCCAACACTGCGTCTCTCCTTAGTGGTCAACTACTGCCTCATTGTCCTGCCTTCACCCACCTCCTGCCACCCTCCTTGGGGACATTAACTCCATCCTGATGATGTTCTGGCCTCACAAATCATTGACTGTCCATTCTCCCCCCGACCCCGTCACTCATGGTTGCCATCTTGCCTCACCCCTCACATCACTCTTCAGTAGAGGTTGGTTGGAATCTCCTGGGAGCCAAACATTGCCTTCACTCTTAAGTGCCAATTCTTGAATGTTCTCTTCTATGACCCCGGCTTCCCACTCTCCCTCTTCCCTTCCTTCACACTTGGTGATCCCACCCTTGACCTTTCTCATTACCTTGATTCTTGCCCTCGTTCTCTCCTTTCAGGCTGCCTGGTTTCTCTTGGTCCCACTTGTTGTTAATCCAGCCATGGACTCCTGCCGGTGTTTCGGTGCCACGTTGATTCATTGTGTCTGCCCCTCCCATGAGGCTCTGAGCTTGGGAGCCCCATAAGGACATGATGATTTTCTTTTTCCCCCTGAATTCCTCTCCTATCCTGCATGTTTTAGGTCCTCATTAAATAAATTGAATTTGCTGTTCTTTCACACTTCTCGAAGCAGAGCCCTCATACAAATAATTCTCTCTTCATCTCTGCCGCCAAAAGCCTAGTTCTTTTGTCTGGTTTGTTGAAGATGACTTATTTTCATTTCTCATTTTGCTGTCAGAATTCTTCCTGCTTCCCTTAAATTAGCTTCTATTGCTAGGGGAAAAAAAGTCTCAGTTCTCTAAATCTCTGTCCCACTCCAGACATCTTGACCCTGCGGCTATTTTCTGTCCTGCAGCAGACTCCCTTTCCCTTTTCTTAGTATTCTAAGTCACGCTGTCAGTTTTCTTTTTTGAACATACTTGTCTCATCCGTGAGCTTTGTATTTGTTCTTATACCAGTCAGAACAATTAGACATACTGTGTTCTATCTTCATGCTTTCCCTCTCTTACCTTGAATTACACAATGATTAGCCCTGTTAATGTTTTCCTTAAAAAGCAGAACAGAGATGAGCCGTTCGAGCTCTTCACCGCTGATGGGAGGTATAATAAATGTAATGTCACATGCACTGTTTTCCCCTGTAGGCGTGCATAAGTTCTGAAGTTATTCTGGGTATGCTTTTTCTGTTTTGTTTTGTTTATTAAAGTTTTCTTTGCTGTTTTTCTCACATATGAAGCAGGAGGCTTCGTTACAGTGGTTCTTGGGTTACTGATTGCGTAAGGCTAATGGGAAGCATAGCCTTGAACCATTTAGAAAGTTTGAAAGAAAGCCTTCAAAAGAAATATAGCACTAAACAATATGTGAGTGCCTTTTATGGACATAATTCTGTATCAGATGATCTGAAATGAATGTGGAGAAAAGGCCACTCCTCACATAAGCAAACCCTTCACACATGAAAAGATTGAAGATTATTTGAAAAGCTGTTAATGATTCTCTCCTCTTTGGCACTAGATCGCATGGTTGATACCTGTTATAAAAAAAGGACCTTGTATGTTATGTGTGTGCGTGTGTGCGTGTGTGTGTTTCACACAAATCTCTAAGCTCCCTGGAATTAGGGATCATGTTCTTTTGCATGTTTAATGTTTGGTGCCTACAGAATGAATTTAAATATACTTTACATATAATAGTTGTTTGTTGAATGGAATATCGTGAAATGCCAATTAACACAGTTCTGAGTGTCAGAGAAAAGGTAAAGCTTCCATTATAGTCACTTTCCTAAAGATGAGTTCCAAGTTGGGCTTTGAAGATGAGAGGGACTTGTCCAGAAAAAGAAGAGGAAAAAAAATTATGCCAGGCATTTCCTCAGAAACAGAGGCTCTGGATTGAAAGACTTAATTTCTAAGGATTAGGAGTAAAGAAATTCCACCCCCTCCTCCTTCATAAGTCTTTCTGATATCGTTGATGCCATAACAGTTTCTCAGGGATGGAAGAACGTCAGAAGTCATCAGATTCTGCCACCACCACCCATGTTCATGAGTCCCTTCTTAGGGACTACTGCTAGATTGTTTAGGGCGTGACGTGATGCGGGCAGGAACAGAATACTTACCTGGGCTCCTCATCGGCACTTTCCAGGAAAGAGAAGCATTCTTTCACATTGTAAGTCTCCTGAACCTTGATTTGTTCTGAGTAGATCTGAACTTGATGCTTCAGGTGTCTTTGTCTTTTGGTGTTGGTTGCGACTAGAATTTATAGTGTGATTAAGGACTCAGGTCAGTCTATCCTTATAACAGATACCACTGGGGTAAAAGATGATGCTGAGCATTTACTTCTCACCTGAGGTGGCCCTGTGTTAACTTACATAGAATCCTCACAGGCTGGGGTAGATGGAGGCTACCTTGTCCTGCAGTAATCCTAGTCTTGGGCTGTGGGAGATCACAGAGCTCAGGGTTAGAAAGAGTCTTCTGTGATTCCAGAAATATTTATTATATTGTGCATTGGGCTGGGGGTATAATGGTGAACAATTCAGATGTGTTTCTCTTTTTGCTGGAATGGATGCTCTAGCAAGGCCCCATAGTGAGTCACGTAAGCCAGGGCCTCCAGAGGCTTATCACCAGGGCCTAGGCCAGCTGCACATCTGCTGCTTGAGGCCTCGTCACCCCTTCTCCAGCCCCACTGGTATTGTGGAGGGCCATGAGTGCGTCTCCGTGGGCCCTGAGCAGGAATTCCTCACTTTCCTGAGCATTTATTTTCAAAGTCCTCCGTGTTACTAGCATTTTTTTGGAAAGCCCTCGCTCATTTCAGGCTTTAGCTGGAAATTGTTGACCACCGTCTGAGAATTGGGTTTTTACTCAAGGACCTGTACTTGACAGTGGTATGTATGCTGTACATACACTGGGAAGGAAGAAATGCCCAAGTGAGGAGGTTTACAAGCAGGACAGGTGGGTCTTGGATTGGGGTGGGAGAAGTGGAGTTGGACCCAGAGGACAAATGCGAGACATATTATCAGACTAGAGCAAATCAAACTTCCAAGCAGTTGGGGATGGGGAAAAATAGAGGTGGTTCTGTGGCATGAGGGTGAATGCCTGGGAGAGCCATGAGGCCATTAGGCTCAGGATGGAAGCTTGCAAAGGCTGAGCTCTCACTCTCTCCCTAGCACTTGGCACAGAGTAGGTGCTCAATAAACGTTTGACAAGTGAATGAACAGAATAGGGATTATTCAAAGGGAAGCAGTTTTGATCTGGAAGAATGAAGAGATTTATTCATTCATTTAGTAAGCAAACACTAAGTTCTGTAAGGTTGGGGGGAAGGGCTCTTCATGATGACAACTGTGCCCCATCAGCACGGAAAGGAGAGGGTACATTAATGAGCTTGCATAGAGTATGAGTTTTCTTATGCTTGACTGCCTGTCGCAAAGCCCTTCTTAATTTCGACAAGCTTTGTGACAGGCTAACCAGAGAGAACATTTGTGCGTGTGATGTTTTCTAACTCACGTTTTCAGTTAATGAAACAATTTTATTTCAGTAAAATTAAAATGAAGAAAATACATATCCTCCTATCCTTAAGGGAAAAACAAAAGATCTTATTGATCTTAAGGCATCTAAAGGCAACACTGGGTTTTGAATCCCAGCGGACAGCTCTAGCGCACTTAAGCTTTTGTTCCCCCATCCGACCTTGGGGCTTGTGCTGATTTAGTCTTAGTAACCATTGATAGCAGCCTCAAGGAAAGCTCCTCCATCTCTCTAGAAAGGGTATCAGAGCTCCCTGTAGGGTGCTTACCCCATTTCTCACTCTGCTCTCCTGTTTCCTAGGACTGCATCGACGTAGGCTGGTGGGAAGGAGAGCTCAATGGCAGACGCGGAGTGTTCCCCGACAACTTCGTGAAGTTACTTCCTCCGGACTTTGAAAAGGAGGGGAATGTAAGTCTCTGTGGCTTGGATCTCAGTACTCTGCCTGCTGTCAGAATTGTGGCTTCCATGACGGGGCTGGGGATGTGGGGTGGGGAAGTTTATTGTTGAAGAGCCCTGGCATTTTAGTTTCTTTGTTTTTTTTTTTCTTAATTTATTTTATTTTATTTATTTTTGGCTGCGTTGGGTCGTCGTTGCTGCACGCGGGCTTTCTCTAGTTGCGGTGCGTGGGGGCTACTCTTCGTTGCGGTGCGCGGGCTTCTCGCTGAGGTGGCTTCTCTTGTTGCGGAGCTCGGGCTCTAGGCATGTGGGCTCAGTAGTTGTGGCTCGTGGGCTCTAGAGCGCAGGCTCAGTAGTTGTGGTGCACGGGCTTAGTTGCTCCACGGCATGTGGGATCTTCCTGGACCAGGGCTCGAAACCCGTGTCCCCTGCATTGGCAGGTGGATTCTTAACCGCTGCGCCACCAGGGAAACCCCAGCATTTTCGTCTGATGGACCCGGGTTCTGAGCCCTCGACTGCCCCATACCTGATATGTGTGAACAAGTCCATTAACTTCCACAAGCCCCAGTTTCCTCATCAGTGCACCTTATTCTAAGGGTTGTTGTGTGACTAAACAAGGTAATGTGGGTAAAGCACTTGGTGCAGTACCTGGAACGTCTAAGCACCCAAATAAACAGCAAGAACCATTAGGTGCTCCATTAGTAAGTGGATGGCCTGCATCCTGCATAGCATGTCCTTGGGGGTAAAGTGGCCAATATTGTGGAAGTGGCTGAAAAGCATGTTGTTAAGCTGAGGATACAGGGTGAGGCCTACTAAGCTTCCTAACTCTGTGTGGTGTGGTGTGGTGTGGTGTGGTGTGTGTGTGTGTGTGTGTGTGTGTGTGTGTGTGTGTGTGTGTATGTGGACATGAATGCACATGCACGCCCGTGTGTGTGTGTCTATATATATATATATATATATATATACACCTCTCATCTGTGCTTTCTTTCTTTGTGGGAACCCGTTTTACAACGCTGTGGTTTAAATGAGCCCGTCCATCTTTGTTCATATACACCTTCATCTGTGCTTTCTTTCTTTGTGGGAACCCGTTTTACAACGCTGTGGTTTAAATGAGCCCGTCCATCTTTGTTCGCCTCACTCCAGGCGTATTGTTTCTCTGATGACTATGTAACAGAAAATGTTGAAAAGTTAGAAGCACTTTACATTCTAAGGGGGCAGCAGTTTGGTCTTTTCCAACCAGTTCTACACCTCAGGGCTCTTTGGTCAGGCTTTCATGTGACTTCTGCCCACCTTTCCCAGCCTGCATTCTATTCATGCCCATGGGGGCTCTATTACTGGACCGTGAACCTTGACCCATCACCATTCCCATGGAGCTGAGGTTCGGGAAAGGTAACTACAGTACTGGTGGATTGGTTGCCAAGGATACTAAACAGCATTGATGGTGTATGCACTGCTTAGATGAATGGATATGATTGTTCAAGGAGCCAGATGGTGTAGGTTCCCACCAAGATTATGGCCTGTAGGTTGGTTTGAAGCCAAGGGCCACACCTTTTAGGCTTTTTGATAGCTTTCTTTCTTGTATTGTTTAGCTGAAGGATGCTCTGTTCCACATCTGTTACTCTCTCTAGGAATTAAGTTTGAGGTTCAGAGAATCTATATTCTGCTTCCCAGTGTTTTCTAGATCATTGAGACTTACTGCTGGTCCGTGGACCACACTTTATCAGCATCACCTGGAGCTTGTTAGAAATGCTCTGACCCCACCCTAGACCTGGTGCCTCAGAACCTGCATTTTATCAAGATCCTCAGGTGATCTGTTTACACGTTACAGTTTGGGAAGCTCTAGTGTAGATACAGGTATCTGTCTAAGTGATGACAACCCCACCTTCTAGTTTCCAGCCATATTTTCGGAGGAGAATAAATCCACAGAACAGAGAAGGGCTCACCATTCAGTAAAGACATTTTCCACCAAGCAAAATCATTTGACCCATTTTTGTTGATAATGATTGCTGTGGTGGGTTATCAGCTGACAGAATTCAGCCTCGAGAAAAACAGACGCTAGCACTTAGTAATGACTATATAGTAAAGGTTTAAAACAGTAAGACACAGGAATGAGGTTTGGCAAACATTTATGGAGTGCGGTGGTTGTGACTCTAGGCTGCGGCATTGAATAGACTTGGACTTGAATCCTGGCCCTGTCGCTTAGCTGTTCTGTTCCAGGTCAACTCATTGAATGTTTCCTCAGCACACTCAGCCCTCGGTATCTGCGGGTTCTGCATCTGTGGATTCAATCAACCTTGAGTTAAAAATACTAAAAAATATATTTCAGGAAGTTCCTGAAAGTAAAACTTGAATTTCTTGAATTCGCTGTGCAATGACAACTATTAACATAGCATTTACATTGTATTTGCAACCATTTATATAGCACTGACCTTGTATTAGATATTATAAGTAATCTAGAGATGACTTAAAGTATAGGGGAGGATGTGCATAGGTCATATGCAAATACTTGCCCATTTTACTTGAGGGACTTGAACATCTGTGGAATTTGCTGTCTGCGGGGGGTACTGGAAACAATCTCCCACAAATACTGAGTAGCGACTGTGTCCTCATCTATAAAATTGCAAGAATAATCATGCCTACCTTGTCAAACTGTCGAGAAGATTAACTGAGATGATGCATATGAATTCCTTAGCACAGCGCCTGGTCCTTTGCAAACGCCCCATACGTGTTAACTATTCTGGTCTTTGTAATAATGACTATTAGCACAAGTTTTAGCTGGAAGGCTCCAGCTAAAACATTCAGTCATGATAGAAATCTGACTGTAGTTCATCAGATCAGCACGGAGTTACCTTGGTGAGCTTCCCTGGGGATCCAGATGCATCTAAGAACTTTGATGAATAGCCTTTAAAAAGAAATCTAGTGCCTTATAATATATATTTGCAGAGACAGGCAAGTACAGGATGGCATAACCTTCATGTCGTTATGCATATTTGGGAGGGGGGAAGACCTGCTGCCGGACAGTGATGTTTTATGTTTATTCATTCGTTCACTTTGTATCTGTTGGGTCCCTTCTTTGGGCTGGCTGCCGTGCTGGTTGATGGGAAGTGAAGAGGACACACATGGTCTCTGTCCTTGTGGGCTTAGTGTTGGGCAGCAGGGGGCCACCCAGACTACCCGCTTCACCCTTCTCCCTCATCTTTGCGAGCCTGGTAAAAGGTGTTCACATGCAAAGCATTTGGATACCAAGACCTTCATGGTGATGCCTCTCCCTTTGGCCAAGGAATCTTAGCAAGCACGCCCTCCTACCAGACATTTGCCACCTTCTTGGTCCTGATGGAAGAAGTATGATTTTGAAGGCTGAGGTAAAATCTGGATAATTCTTTTAACAAACGGGCAAAGCCTGTGGTTGCCTACGTTGTAGCACCCTGCCTTCTAGTCCGCAGCCATATGTCAGGGGGGCAATAAATTCACTCAAGTGAGAGAGACTCCATGGCATACTTTTCTAGAAGCTCTGCTCTGTTACATAACGTATTACAGGAGGACTCCGGCTGAGAGACTGAAGTTGTCAGTGATGAGCGGACTCGTCTTGGTTTGCTCCGAGGCATGCATGCTCTTTGGGGCCCGTGGCCATCTTTCCCACCCCAGACAAGCAACCACCATCTCTTTGATAGGTCTTTTAACCTTGTTCCTAAGAAGCAGAAAACTCAGTTTTAGGGAAACAGTAGTTATACCTGTCAGACAAAGTAATACCTACAGGTGAGAAGCAATTGTATAATGTGACGTTTAGCTTTTAGCAGATTCAAAGTATTATATCCTTTTCATCCCCTCTGGCCTATAAAACCCACCAACCAGCTTTGCATTGGTTGTTACACCAGCCTTTAGAACTGCACCTGGAGTGTTGGTGAGTTCGTGACACCATGACTGGAGACAGGGCTGTTGTGTGCTGAGTTGACTGTGTAAAGATGATTAGAATCATTAACACAAATGCACTATGTGAATGACAGAGTCTGAAACATTATTCTGCCATCAGTGTCAGCAGATGTCATCTTGTCTTGCCAGTAGCTGGGGTTGCAGTCATTCATCCAGAAAAGAGGACGATGTGCGATGATTAGGGTAGACAGGAGCAAACAGCATTATTCAACGGCAGACCTCTTGAATCAGTAGGCATCACCAAAGCATTCTGACGAAGCAGGTGTATTCTCTGCTCCGGTGCAGATTCAGGTGGTTACTACAGGGCCTTTTGGAACTCCTCGAGGTCTTTCTTTCAGAGGGTGCTCAGCACATTCTCTCTCACCGGGGTAGTAAAGGCTTTGGGGCTTTTCCCCAAGATATTCCCAGAGAGCACCAGTCGATCTCTTGGTGCAGATTTTAGAGCAATTATATAAGCTATTTATGTGAGAACCTAGATTCAGTGGCTGCCTGTTTATTTTGAGCCTCGACAGTAAAATTGAATATTAGAATGGAAAGATTAAGTATTCTGAGAGCTCTGATGAAGTGACGTGCATGCTTTGTTTTCAGGACTGAAGGAAAGCAGGGAACTTGGACTCTCTGAACTGCTGAAACAACATCTTCCTGTCACTAAAAAAAAAAAAAAAAAAAAAAAAAAAAAAAAAAAAAAAAAAAAAAATAGAACAGGTATCCTGAAAGATGATGTTTCTGAAATATAGTATTTTAAGAAAGTCTCAGGATCCAGTTCTTTTAAAAGAAAGTGTTCAAATCACCAGAAAATGGTACTGTTCTTGCATGCACTGATTTGAGGGGCTCTTGTGAGCTTGTGCCATGTTGAAAACCAGGGCATTGCTGAGATTCCCAGAGGCGTTTCCCCAGTGAATGCTCTACAGTGGAGGGTCTGCCTCTCGGCCTCAGGGATACAGAACCCTGCCCCCAAAGACTTCTAAGGTTGCCTGTAACTGTGATGCAGGCTCACATTTGCAAGCTCACAGAGACTTACCCGGGAGCAGACTGGCAGCTTACTAATCGCAACAGGAACTGAAATGTCAGCCCATCGGAAG